CAATTGGGTAGGCAGTAGGCTATCCTCAAGTCCTCATTACGATCTATTCATCCATCTTGGACAGTTTGTGTCAGGTTACATTTGCAGGGAAATTTTCATCTTCGTCTCTCCAACTCAGGTAAGTCGTTGTGGGGGTCTATTTATCTTCCCTTGCCTTGGCTCTTCTATCGATGTCGATAGTTGTTCTGGTATCATTGCCAGGTGACCAAAGACAAAGCTCCCAATCCTCTTAAAGGCCTTGATGGTGTTGTGCTTCTAAAATCTACAATTGCAGCAGATATATACTGTATGATTTGAACTACTACTAACTAAAGAAAGAGATAATGCATAGCACAAAACTGGGTCTGGCTTCAACTGAAGAGACTTGGTTTCTCAAACAAAAGCAGTGAACTGTTTATATGAAGAATGCAATGCATAAAATAGAGGTAAAAACCTAAAAAGGATATTAGAAGAAATAGATGAACTGTTTGAGATGGTTTCTCAAACACTAAAATAAAATGATATTTCGCGGATAGGTAGAGRGAGAATGGGGCGGAGCCCTGTTTTGCCATCTAAAATGTGATTTTCCAACAGAGAGTTTACCTGAAACGAAGGTTTGTGTTATGGTACATGAACTGAGTTGTTACTACCACTTGAATAACCTGTTCATGTAAAAAACATTAAAAGATCTTCGTCATTCAAGGATAGGTTGAAAGGGACAATGGGGCGGAGCCCCTGTTTTGGTATCCAAAAGAAAGACTTCAAACCTGAACGCAGTCTTTGTGTATGTTTCTTGTACCTCCATATCCAAGATGTGTAGTTCCTCATATACATAGCAGAGGAAAAGCTTTGTACTTTGCCTATCTTGAAGAACGACTGGAGCTTTGATAGTGAAATCAAAGCTTTGAGCTAGAGCCTCYATCTTGGAGAATGGCTAATAAAACCCAATCTATTTGCAAAACCCAAATGAATTCAGGAAATGAAAATAACAAAATCWAAATAAAGAATTGGAATTGGAAGAAGGATTGGCACGCCCAAACGTCTGGCATTCCAACTTGTTAAACGAATTAATAAGGGGGCAGAAGACGTCTTGGAAGTTCAAATGTCTCTCGCCTTTCATTGGGTTTAATCACAATTAGGAAGGGGATTTCCTGCAATACGGAGGCAGAACTTCAAACRATGTTGTTTTCTTTCTTCCCAGACAACACGAAAAGGGGAAACACAAAAGGGGGAGGGTTAGTACCTTGCTTTCTTCTCAAGCGGCAGTTAGCAATGGTTGGTGCTTCTTTCTTTTTCTCATGTGACAACAGTGCGTGGTTGATCTTCTTCTCTTCTCAGGCGCGGCGACAAAAGTTTTTTCTGCCCATGGCAGCAGCAATGGTTTCTTTTCCCTACGATGAGCAACAGTGATGCCCAGACCGAATAGAACTTTAAATTTTATGATTTTAAAATATATAAAGCCATTTCGGTAATTTTATAATAGAATGTAACATGAGTTGATGGAAATGAACCCAAGTGTCTATTTTTGAAAGTTCAGGGTACCTATCCGTAGTTTATCTAATATAATATAACATAATATAATATATAAATTAATAATATATGTATATTATAATTTTATTTGCTTTTAAAAATGAATATAAATTTAAAATTTGAGTTTAAAAAATAGTTTCATTAGTTTATAAAGACAAGCCTAGATTCCCAACCCGGCCCGCATAGAACCAGGTCCGGCCAAGTATTATCAGGGCCAGAGATGTAGGCTGAACCAATGAACCAAAGATGAACAGCTGAAGTCTCAAAATACTGTTTAAAATCTAGAAAAATCCATCCTGGCTAAGCCCATGATATAGCCTAATGGAGCATATATATATAAGGTCTCGTTTGGTTTCACTTATTTGGGTACRTGARTTTACTCAAACAAGTGTTTCTTAGGTTTCACTTGCCCAAGAAAGTTTGGTTTCAAGTGTTCTTGGCCTCAACAAGTTACACAAGTAAAGGGGGAGGTGGGAGGGAGAGACCCTTATCAGCGCATGGATATGTAATTTACCCACCCTCAAGGAGGGTTGGTTACTCGGGTAACTAAAACTCTCCAAATAATGGATTACCGTAGGACCCAATATAGCATCATATGAACACAAGGATCATGATAAATTACCTGATTAACCAATTTACCCCTTAGGAGATATCGACAACGAATGGGGCCTAAAAGGAAGAGAAGTAATGAACAAGTCAAATCTTCAACTAGAATATTTAAAGTTCATCAGATCATCTAAAAACTCTAAGGTGCCATTTGGCAAGTCCTTTTAGAAAGATCTTCTAACAACCCAAATGGCCAAAAGACATATTGAGCTTTTGAAGTCTTGTCTTTAAAGACAAAGAGCATTTAGTAAGTGGCTCAGTGTACCGAGCTTTTAAAAATGCATTTAGAGGATATTTGTCATGCAAAAAGACTAGAAAGCTTCATTTGAAGCTTTCCGAAATTCAGCCTATTTGGTCCTTTTGGGTCTTTTCATGCACACGTCTCCTTATCTTTCCAATTTTTTGTTATCAAATGGGAATAGACCGATTTTTGGTCTTTCAAACTTTCTAAAGCCTAAAAAACTAGATAGAAAGACTTGCCAAACATCAACTAAATTCAATGTGAAAACTGGCATTTGGAGCTACCAAATAAAAATGGTTTAGTAAGTAGATTGAGCAAAGTATGGGCAAGCTTATCAAAAAAAGGTATGCCCTTGACGTGGAAGTTAGCGGGCCAAAAATGAACTTTGATAGAAATTAAAAAGAAAAAAAGCAACCCAACTACCCATTGCCCAAGTTCTATCTTCTATGTAGGCAATGTGTTGGACAAGATCCATCAAATGGTAACCAAAGAGTGCTAGAGGCAGTGCATTTATTGGGAAATGTTTAGTATTTGAAATATTGACAAGTCTTGTGGCTTTAGGCTTCCCCCATCTTAAAAACATAAAATGAAAGAGAGAAAAAATATATATAAAACAGAAAGGCCTAACGTTGACAGTTGGCCCACCTCTTCTGTTGAACTTCAAATTATTTACTTATGAGAGGGAAGGATAAGAATATAAAAAAAGAAAAAAAAAAAGAAAAGGGAGAGAGGAGTAAAGAGTGAGAGGAAGAGAAGAACTACAACTCTATTGAGTAAACAAGAAGAGGATAAATACACACGTAATGTATTATTATTTTTTCCCTTTTATCTCTTCCCTTCTCTCCCCT